CTGGTTCTGATAGAATCTCCACTTCTGTATTTTGTTTTGTGTTGGCAAAATCACTTTCAGAAATTTCTTCTAATACTACTTTCTCATAAATCTCTGGCTGTTTGCTTGCACACACAAATTCTATAGACTTGTCTTTATAGAACTCATTTTCATTAAAAGTGACATTTCTAGTTTTGATTATCTTCCTATTTTGGTCATCCCAAAACCTATAGCCATACATGTCAGATCCATAACCAATGAAATAACATCTCTTTTTTCCTTAGGGTCCAACTTATCCTTACTATCAGAGTTTATCATGACATATGAGACACAACCAAAAGCTCTTAGATGTGAAAGATTTACCTCTTGTCCAAACCATACTTCTTTAGGTAACTAATAATCTAAAGGAAGTAATGGTCCTTTATTTATGAGATAGGTTGCAGTGTTTATTGCCTCTGCCTAAAATACCTTAGGTAGACCAGACTGAATCCTTATACATCTAGCTCTTTCATTTAGATTTTTGTTCATCCTCTCTGACACACCATTTTGCTCTGGTGTTCTTGGTATTGTCTTGATCATTCTGATCAAATTTTTTGAGCAAAAGTTTTTAAATTTTTGGTTATCATATTCTCCACCATAATTAGATTTCAAACTTTTAAATTTTAAATTTGTCTGAGTTTCAACTTTTTCTTTCCACCTTTTGAACATAAAGAATACATCAGATTTATTTTTAAGAAAATAAACCCATATCTTTCTTGTAGGGTCATCAATAAAGGTGACGTAATAATGTGAGCCTTTAAGGGATTTTACTGGAGTTGGACCTCAAGCATCTCTACGCACCAGTTCTAGCCTTTCAACTTCTTTCATTGCTAGCTCCCACTTAATGGAGTCATTCCCTTGCATAGCCTCAACAAAATATTCTGGCTCACCAGCATCAATTAATAATAAGTAATTTAATGAAGGGGAATACCTTTGTGGTGTTGCTCTTCTTATCCACGTGGATGTCACGTTTGCATCTACGTGGCGTCCACGTGGCCAAAAATTAACACCGTTAAAGCAATTTGGACGGAAAGTCCCACATTGAAACCAATTAATTAATGTAGGACTAAATTGAAACAAAAAAAGATTATAAGTGACCAAAATAAGGTTTTGACCATGAATCAAATAAGAAGGAAAAAGGCATGCATAAAATGAGAGATAAAATACAAATCTTATTTATTTATTATTGTTGTTTAAAAGAATACACATGTTTTAGAGCTCAATAAAACAAAAAATAGCTAAATTGAAAGTTAAATTTCATTTTGAAAATTTATAAATTGAAAAAAAGAATTAATAATAATTGTTTTGAATTGGATTTGACCTAAAGCAAATACATTATTAAAATCTAATTTAAACTTCAAATTTATTTGATAAAATTCTAATGATAATTATGCTTATTTTTAAAATTTAATTCTTAAATTGATTCAAATAATATTTTCTCTGAATTTTTTCTATAAGATTCATATCAAAGTTTTTGTTTGGTCTTTTTTATTTTATTTATAAGAATCAAATTAAAATGTTTCATGCATTAATTATTATTATTTTTTGCAAAAATATCCTTAATAAAAGTCATTTATCTTAATTTAACAAGTAGTTGACAGAGTGAGAGTCTTATTAATATTAGAGATAAGTTTAAAAAAGAGTAAATTAGAATTCACCATCTTAAGATTTATTTAAATGACGCTATACTCCAAACTTATTTAACTATAATACTCCAATTAAGAGAGATTCTTTTAGAGTTTTTTTTAACCTAATAGTATGTTAAAAACTTAAATTAACTATATAACATTGCTATCATTAATATTTTTGTTGTTAAGTTGTTTTTCTTATTGGGAGCACGCTATTGAATTTGGTAGATCTCTTTTTTATTTTTCTTGTGTAAAAATATATTAACAAAATAAATAAATTCTTTATTTAAGATAATATAAAAGATTGACATAAATAACAACTATTAGCACATGTCATTAAAAGGAGGAGGATAAAAAGTACATAATTAAAACTTGTCATTCTAAATAAATTTCTTATCCTAAAATGTTTTGGTAAATAAGCACAATAATTTAGATTCTAAAATGCCATATGCTATATTAGATGTTAACCACCAAATAAAAATGCTTTGGTAGGACTAGTGAAAACTAAAACATCTAAATACTAATGAAAAAACCAAATAGAGAGAAGAAAAATATTATTGATTTTTGTGCTCTAAGAGAACATATTTTAAATTCTTCTTTTGAAAGGTTAAAAAAGGAGAATTTTATTAAATGATATCAAGGTATAATACAAGTTGTATCTATTTTGAAGTTACAAAAATTACAAGAGAATGGAGAAAAACTCCTTTCAAATATGGAACCATAATAAAACAAATAAAATTGTACATGAAACTAAATTAAGCTTTAATTTAGAAGGTTTTTATGTTTAATGGAACTTTACTAAATGTTTTATTAACTTCAAATGAAGTGGGATATAATATTGGAGTAAGTTTGAATTTTAGTGTCATAACAAAACTCAAGGTTTAAATTTCTCTAAAAAAATGTAAATTTAGGAAAACTTTAATACCACGGACAAGGGGAAATTAGGGAGAACTTTTTCAAGAGTTAATATCAACTCCTAATTTCATGCTATACAATCTTTGATGTTTATTTACTTTAGGATCTACCTCAATTTATAACATTGGTTTTTTATTTCATAGACTTTAACATTTATAAGAATATGTGACAACTCTCTTCGTAACAATGTCAGCACAATATCAATGTTTTGGATGGAATCATAGTGCAAGTATAAATATTCAACACAATATTAAGTTATGCAATCAACTCTAGATACCATTAATAAGCCTAAGTCGCTAAAGAAAGTTGTTGATATGCATATTAATAGTGTAAACTATGCTAAATGAGTTGTGCCAATAGATGTGAATGTAACAATAGAGGAAATTGTGATAGACTGATAGTTGAATGTCAATGAAAAGGGGTAAAACAACCACTTTTGATGCAAAGGAAAAGGGCAAGAAAAAGGCAAAGATCACAAAGACCTTGAAGTAATGATAGTTTATTTTGATCGAAGATGTTGATCCTTTTTTTGTTGGTCCAAACATGTGCCATGAAAGATTTGCTTATGTTATTTTCTTTAGTACACTAGTATTGTGTTAACTGTTGTAATGTAGACAACTTATATGTAAATAATTTGGTGACTATGATACATCTGATGTTAAGTTTATTTAAGTTATTTTATGTTGTCTCTATTGATGTTAAGTTTCTTTTTCAACATGTGATAACTTAATCTATTTAAGATTTTACTAATGCAAATAGTTGCTTCATTATATTTCATGAAATTAATTAGCAACTCCATTCAAAATTAAATATAAAATCAACAAAGTTTTGTGTAATTATTTAGCACGTTTATGAAATTTGACAAATGATTTTTGCTTACAAATAATTTAAACTAGAAACTAATTTTTTTTTATTTTGAAATTTGGAAATGAGTTTTGGTTACAAAAAGGAAACACTAAAACTAGAAATGAATATTGATTTATGAAATTTGAAAATGAGTTTAACAAATCTTTTTCACAAAGTAAAATGTGCTATAGATCATAGAAGTTTAAGGTAAAAATCAACATGATTGATATCTACAATTTTATTAGTTTACTAAGACAATGATGATAAAATGTAAGGATCAACAATAATAAAAAATACAACACATAACCAAACTTATAACTCTTCTCACAAATTATAGCTCTTTATAAAACACCCAACAAAGGTCTCAACTCTAATCCATAACACTCTTTGCATTAATCATCAAAGTCTATGGTGGTACAAGCAAAAGCAAAGGCCAAAAATCATCTACAAACAAGAATAAATAAAATCAACCTTTCATTTTGGTTCTTTTTTTATGCAACTTTAACTTGTTTATCTTCTTCTACGATAGCTCCAACAACAATGATGAACATGCACAACTAATTTAAGTTTCCACACTTGCACCAATGTTGCCTTCAACATCGCCATCTCAAACAAATAGCTCACAAACTCCCATTTACACAAAAAGGTCATAGATCAGAAGCTGGTGAAAAAAAGTTGAAACTTATTGTCATTATCATACTCATATTTTAGTTTATGCATCTCCAAAACCTTCATTAAAGATTATTTGTGGTCTTCAAAATAAACATCACATTAAGTTTTACACCCACACATTGACATTAATCCTTGTCAAATCAAATAATTTCAAAAGGCAAGGGTTGTTTGGTAACCATTGAAAAACTCCTACGTTCAAAGATTATGAAAAATGAAAAAAAAAACCTAAATGCAACCACAATACCACAAACCTTTATTAGTAGTGATTTTTCCCCTTCTTTATTTCATTAAAATTAAATGTACATTTTGATTTTTGATTTTAAAAATATAAACAATGTTTATAATTAAGTGACATTATTTAAATATAATTTATGAAAGGAATAGACACATTACATCATTTTCTGTTAGCCATGTCAATTTCTTTTCTATAACGAAAATTAATTATAGGAATTATTTTTGAAACATTGAAATATGTCACAAATAAAACAACAATCTCGATTACACAAATAAAAAAAATTTCAAATTACAATGATAAAAATAACAATTTTTTTAAATATGTATCAAAATCAAAGTTCTTTCATCTTATAATAATTAAAAACACATCAACCCTTATACATAAAATACAAATGACCATCCTACATGAGAACATTTCTTCAATAAAAGAGTTTATACGAATTCTTTTAACTTCATATCTAATTCAATTTTTATTTATCATAATTATTTATAAATTAAATTTTAATATATTTTTTTTAAAATAATAACAATAAAATAATTTAAACTACAATATAAATTATTTATCATAAATTTAAAATATAATCTATATATTTAAAAATATCTAATTATTTAAATTTTAAAATTTAATTTTATCTCAAGGGATTTTAGATTTTAGTTACTCACAATAAACAAAGGCTTACATAAGCATTGAGACATGCACCCAAGAAGAAACTCTGAAAACCAAAGACCCTTCCCACTCATGCGAGGCGACATAGTGTGGGCCAGGGTTCAGTACCCTCACAAATGGTGCCCCGCGCTCGTTCTCGCTTCCGACGACCTCGGTGTCCAAGTCTCCTTCTCCTTCAACCAAAACGACGTCGTCCCGCCAACATGTTTCGTCGACTCCGAAGTTGTCCCCTTCGAGGAGGCCTTCCCTTCTCTCGTCTCCCGCCACAACGCCCACGCGTCGTCGCTCCACTCCGCGCTCCGGCTCTTGGGCCGGAGGGTCATTTCCGGTTTGAGCTGTCGCTGCCTATCGGCCCAGGCCCAACGGGCCCGTAACGGCCCGGGCTCTCTTCCCGAGTTCGACCCGGCTGGGGTTTTGGGTTTTGTCTTGGATGCCGCTGTTTCGCCGTGGGTCGAGCTCCCTCGTTTTGCTCATGCCGTTAGAGTGGTTGCTCAGGTTCACGCTTTTCGAACTTATTGTTCCATGAAGCAAAAGAAATTGAACAAACAGAGTAACAACACAGGTAACTTTTTTTTTTTTTTTTTTTTTTTTTTTTTTTTATTTTTTTTTTTTTTTTTTTTTTTTTTTTTTTTTTA